TACATTGCTGCATAAGTAAAGGAGGCTGACGATTGAAAAGTTAAAATCATCATAGATAACCATTAAAGTCTTTTTCTAGTAAAATATCTAAATATGAAACAGATGCTTCAGACTCTGTAAAATCTTTTATTTCAAGCTCACTGGGATATATCGTGTCTATAAATGAATGGAAATAACTATTGCTAATTGATAATACGTCGTCGATATATCTAAATGTAGAGTTGAAGGCCACCGCAAGAGATTTCTTTTTCTCATGTATAACATTTTGAATAAATTCTGCTTCATATGAATACAAAAATAGGTCTGCTAACAACGGGACGCAATTGGTACCCATGGGAATTCAAAAAGATTGTTGGAAGACCTGGTCTCCAAAAACAAAATAGATAATGTCAATCAGAAACTCAAGCATCATTTTGATATCAACTTCAGAGTACTTATGTGTACAATCAGATTGTTTTTTAACAAATAATTTTGCAAAGGACCAGTGACAAGGTAAGTAAATTTAAGAGTTCCATTTTATTGAAAAAGCAGCTGCCAATGAAGTCAAAAAGCCTTTAATTTATCGTAAGGAATGGTAGTGTACAGAGTTGAAAAGTCGTAAGTTTTTATGTTATTGATTTTGGTAAAATTTTGAGATTTCAAATTTTCCAAAAGTTCCTTTGAATTTTTAAGTATCCATATCTAATTCAGGGAATGCATTTAATGTTGGTGTGTATGAAGTAATAGAGATTACTCTATCTGACGTATCCCTGTAAGTATACGTATCCGTATACGTATCGAGGTATTAGACAGAGGCATCTCCATCCCGATGTCTAAACCATTTGTAAACATTTCTATCGTTATTTGTTTGGTTTCAAAGCTGCCCCATTCATTAGCGTATGGTAAATTGTTTATAAAAATATATCAAGCTGCTGTTAACCCCTATCATTTTGTGGGAAACTTAAATAAGTAGAAAATGAAATTCAGTAAATAATTATGTATTTGTTTAATTATAATGTTTTAAAATTCATTTGCAATTTTGTTTCAAAACATTTATCGGGCATCTCTCTCTCTCTCTCTCTCTCTCTCTCTCTCTCTCTCTCTCTCTCTCTCTCTCTCTCTCTCTCTCTCTCTCTCTCTTAATATCATATATTTTAATTCAATTTGTAATTTACATATATCATTACATGGCTTAACAGTTACACCCACCCCAATCTAAAATACAAAAGATGCTAATATCAACAAGATCAATAAAACCGTGTAGCCTTTTTTAGAGAAACCCTTGAAATTTATTACACAATTCGCTTCCAGACTATTACCAGTATTTGATAAAAATGCAAGTTAATACCCCCCCCCCCCGGGACACACACACACAAACTTCGATAGCTTTCATTCAATTTTCTTTTCCAATGAACTTCTTGACAGATACATGTTTGTCTCCACACTCTCCAGTTGAAATTGCTTCTTTCGTGCCTATACTCATACGGCTTGATTTCACTGATATGGTGTCTCTCAGGCGGTATTAACTTAAAAAGACTTGATGGCGACACAAAGTGAGTAATGAAATAAAATACATTTGTTAAATTTGATTTTCTTTTTCGCTCTCTTGTTGTCGTACTTGTGTAATATCATTTATAGTTTGATATAAAACTGTTTCAGAATATAGTATTTATTATTCTAACTGTCTTTTTTATAACAAAGAAAAGAACATTAGGCTAAAACTTTTCAAAACAATTGATCTATCTCATTCTGCTAAGCTACCGTGTCCATCCAGCCTTTCTTTTTTTTTATTTTGGCCGAGACCGAGGCCAGTGTGAGTCAATTCAGCACTCAAAACATAGAATTGAAGAGGAGAGGCTGCTTCAACGTAGCAGAGAAAAAAAATCAAGGAATAAAGGATAAAATTTATACAAAAGAATATCAGCATTTTTTTTCAGAGCTTTCATGTCTTGTAAACCTGTACACTAAGAATTAAGGTCATCTAAATTTCATAAAAAGTACTTAATATGTACATAGAGTAGTGATTAATACATGATTACGATACACGTACAATGTTTGACTCGAAGTGCCAATGTAGTTTAGAAACGTAGTTATGCATAGTATTTTTATTTAAGGTTATTAATTGATAATTTAAAAAAAAAAAAAAATCATATGCAGTTACCGAGAAGAGTGAAAAAATAGCGTCTCTCTTTTAATTCGTGCGCAAAGTCCAGCGAGGTCTAGAAAATAATTAAATGTGCAAGCTAAACAATGGACACGAATTAAAGTTCATTAACGGTTTAAAATTAGAAAGTTAAAAAAAAAAAAAAAAAAAAAAAACGGTATACATGGAGGTTCATATTTATACATTGACGATGATCTTATACATGTATACATTGACAATGATCCTACTGTGACGCTAATGTTTAACTAATATTTGGCGGAACTATGGTTCTGATTTTTTAACTGTGGCACTAAGGAATTTAACTGTGGCGGGGCCGCCACGTTAAACGGCCCATGTAGAATCCTGTATTATTAGTTACATAGTTTTGTAGTGACAGGGCACGGGATGATACCTGGTTAGTAAATTTCATACCTGGCGAGGCGAAGCCGTGCCACGTATGAAAGTACTACGTACGCTAACTCACAATTCCCGCCTACATTTTACACCCATTTAATTCAATACTAATGACAATTTGGCCATAAAATCTTTGTTGAATCCAAAGAAGAGTTCGATGTTAATTGATTAATAATTTTAATACCAAATGAAATAATTAATTACTCTTAATTTCAGCTCTTTTTATAAGGAGGGTAGACGATGCTTTCCATTGAAATCAGGCTTAAAAGCATCAGCATATTTTAAAGTATTCTTGGATATGGATAAATGTTTTTTAAATCTTTCCTTATGATTTACTCATATAAAATTAAACATATGTAATAGATAAAATACAACGTTTAAGTTGTAAAACCCTTCGAAATTAGTGAAAAAATGTGTATTTTTGTCGTTTTTTGTCCGTAAAAATATGTCCCCCCACGTAAAACACAAAATTTGTGAAATAACAATCTATATTACCAGTAAAAAGGATTTTTTGTTTCGGGGAGGGGGGGGATGGAAGATGTTTTAAAAATATTTTCCGTTTTACCAAAATTATAGAGTTATCTCTTTTTGTTTTCCCAAATAAGTAATGTTTTATGAAAATTTATATAAATATCTATATTAATATGAAATATCATTCAAACGTGTTAACTTTTGAACATTGACTTGGAGGTAGGCGGGAGAACAATACTATCGTTCGCAGTTCTTTACTAACCAGCTATCATCCCGTGCCCTGTCACTACAAAACTATGTAACGAATTTACCCAACCGATGAAATATTTATGTATTGTCTGTGGTTTGTAAAATTGTTTTTCTCCGCTAAATGTTTCATCACTCGTAGAATGATTATAACGACGTCACGTTGTGTTACGTAATGTTGTTTTGCGAGTGTTTCATAACGTACTGACAGTTTCGAAGACTCAGTAAAGTGAGAAAAAGGTTCCATCTCGTTACCTACATTAATTAACTTTTTTTCTTGTCAACAGACACCAGCAAACCTCGTGAACTCAGGTTGTTCGAAGTGTTACAAAAGAACGATATCTCCGTATCAACCATGTATTGATTTTCAAGCGACTAGGTATAAGTAATACACTCCCTTCACGTGACAGATTTCAACCAATCGTAAGCCAGGGTTTTATCGAAAAATCATCAGAGGTGGGGTAAACAGTCAAATCTCGTTATCTCAAACTTGATGGGACCAAATAAAACTTTGAAATATCCGAGGATTCGAGTTGACAAAGTTCAACTGTAATACCCCGATGTAAGTAACGCTTTGTTGTAGTTTGTTGAAGTGTAAGAGATCAAACATTCTAGATAATTATAATTATGTCTGCATCAGACAGACATTTGAAACGGTTTTACAAAGGGGCGAGAGGGCGAGGCACGAGGAAAGGGAAAAAATAACAAGTGACATAAACAAAACGTTGACAACAAAACTATGAAGAAATTAACCAAACTCTAAATACCTATAACTAAGTTGGGGGGGGGGGGGGGGAGTTATTTAGTTCCGAGTCTCCCATTTCCACAAAAAATATTTCCAGATACAATACCTGGGAAAGATTTAACCATACTGCAACAAAAAATTGGGGAGGGGGGATTCACTGAAAATTTCAATCTTTTTTCTTTTTTATCATCCTTTGACGCATTTAATATAGCGTATTTGATTGCCATAGTTCTTCTAAGAAGCTAAGGAATTCCGGGGCGATTTAAAGACCCGAAATTCCCTTAATTGCTAGTCGATAGCCGTATCCGGGGTTTCAAAGAGCATGAGAATGGACTACAATGTCCGAAAGTGATACAATTCACGCGCAGTATTTTAACACTTGTTGTTGAGAAAAATTGTTAGGTTATGATCAATCTATATCTTAGAAATTACTCTTCATGGATAAACATATGATATATAATACATTTTTTTTTATATATATAATACATTTTCTCTCATAGTTCCTATATACAAAACCCTGGATCAAGTTTGACCAGACACATTACTTGTGTGTACATTTTTTGTCACACAGTTTCTTAAACCTTACCTCTGAATCTAAATTCACACCTATACTGGTACATGTATGCATACGTCATATAAATTTTTATTAATAAAAACAATTGGTTTTCATGGCCTTTATATATACAAGCCACGCCTTCTGACGTAATGCAAAACAGCCGTTTGTACATTCTATTTGTAAAAAATTGGCAATGAAAAACAAGGTTTTATGAATAAGCAAATATAAGCAATGATTACAATTAATTGCTAGACCACGGATTCTGTAGAGTGCCGCATATACAATGTTTGTTTGGTAAAATTCTTGAAAACTCATTTTCTGTCTTAACTTTATTATCTACATACAATATGATATTATCTCAAAAAATGATCATTATGTATGAGACTTATCAAGTGAATATTGTGATCAAATTTAGACTACATTTAGTAAACTACTATAACAACAGTTTATGGAATAAGAAAACCAGAGAAAGTGGTGAAGGGAGGACTGGATGAATAGTATCCGGAACCTGAACGCCGTTTAATCCACACTTTATCACCTTGTTCAAGACGTACCAACAACATGTTCGTCCCTGTCTGGTACGGGGCATGATTTGAGGATTGAGACAGCGCTGTCACCTTGGAAATTCCATTTAATACGATGTAATAGGAAGTAGTCTTAGAGGCATAACTACATATGTTTACAAAAAATTGGTACATTCCAGCGACAGGAGCTGTAAAGATCCCCGTGTTAGAATTGTAGCCTCCTCCAATATTTGTGATAACGTTTGAAAAAATTAATACATCGCCGGTCCAGAAAGAAGATTGCGACGGTATACCAGCTGTAAATCCCACCTGTTTAGTTAGACCTGAAAGTGATATAGTTCTAAATTTATTATATGATACAGGTAAGAAGCATACGTACATCGAAATTACGGCTGCAGTAAAATTGGCTAAAAAGAAATACAGTAAAAAAATAATAATAATAAATTGGATATGTGTTTGAACTTGAACTTGTTTGAATAATCTCTACATTTGACCTTCAATGTCTCATGATTATAAATAATTAGACACAAGTTTTAAAAAAAAAAAACATATGAAGAAATTTGTTTAAATAAATCGAAAAAAGAATTTGTTTGTGAGAAAAAGTAATAATTCATAAAATGTTAAAATAAAGAACTCGTAAGCATAAAATTCAATACACGGAAATAGCACGAAAAAATGGTAGAGATGATCCAACAGTAAGATGCTGTTTTGTTCAGTCTTTATAATTCAAGGCGTAGGATTGTAACATTAGATGATGTTTAAGTGCACTGATACTTTTAGTATATCAAAAATACCACCAACATTCAGAAAGTATAGGTTGCCAAAAGGCAATTTTTTTTATCAAAAAATATTAATATACTAATAGAATAGTAATATTTGTAGTAGGATACACGACCCCTTTAAATTTGACAGCAATTATAACCCCTCCCCCGTTTTTAGGTAAAACCTAATTTACTTGCTTTGGTATATTCTGATGAGTATCTAAGATTTTTCATGCAATGATAATTTCCTTAAATATCTAGAACAAAACAGGGCTTTTGAAAATATTAATGACTTTTTATTTTCCATCAGTAAACTATTTATAGCTCTTTTAGACCAGTTCTCATATACATCGAACCACATTACAATCACAATTAAAGACAAGACAAATCTATATTTTGTCAACTTTTACAATTACCTTCCATTGTGATTCGAGTGTCTGTCAAATTCCTTTCGATGTCCTCTTTCAGTTTCTCATTTTCATTTTTTAATGATGCCACTTCTGTTTGTAAAAAAGAGTTATCTCTCTGAGACTCCTGCAAGGAGGATATAATTTGCTTCATGTCTATCACATCTTTGATCAATGTATCGACGCTTCTCACCAAAGACATTCGGATAAGAGTTTCTTGGTTTAGCAGTTGTCGGAAAACATCTGTACTTTTGGCATCGACTCTTATTTCTTTCATACTAGTCAAGGTATAATTGTCGTTCCCTGTAACAATGGATAATCCCTTGATGTGTATAAATGACACAGAAAGCACAAAGACAAGCAAGGGTTTGAAGTCCATGTTGATTTTTCAAACTATCGTCTGATGAGTGAGTTGAGAAAGCTTTATATTCTGAAGAAATATGTGTGGACTTAAGCTTGAAGTATCTGTACTTGAAACAAATTGTAAATCCTTTACTTTAAGGTGTGCCATAAGAATTTGAAAAATTGTCATCTTTTGCAAACACTTTGTTTTAACATCTTCTGGCGTCCGCTTGCGGTTTTTCCTCTTCTGTAGGAATTTTATCTCTTACGAAAAAGGTATTTTCAACGACAGTGGTTTATCCAACATTACACACATTGTTTTTGAATCACTTAAGGTCAACATGAGTCCTCTTATAAAAGACCTACATTGCAATATTTGAAAAAAAAATATAGGTGTCCTACATGAAAACTATGTTGTCAAAATTAAACATTTGATTTTGCCCCTTAGGACGATAACAATAGATTGACATTCCTTGTTAACAGGCAAGAAATGATCAAACTATTGACGTTAAAGCTTAACAAATGGTATCCTATCGACATTATTAATTCATATTATATTGAATTGTCCGGATATTTCTACGCATTTTTTTCTTGCGACAAAAGTTATGACGCGAACAACTATCACGAGTTGATCAAAGTCAACAAAGCTGGAACAAGGCTGTTAAATCATCCAAGGTTTATCGAATTTTTCTGATCTCCTTGTACAAGTCGACATAATTTTGACGTTATAAACATTTTATTGGAAGATGACACTAATTTTATATTGCCATTTTGAGGTATAACACAACAACACAAGACAGTGATACGATTTCGTAAGAAGCAGCTATATAGTTGGTCTTATTCTTAAGTTCTTTTTTGAAATGGACCCCAGGTGTCGCAAGAGATGATAAATTGAAGTGCATGAGGTAATAACTAACATTTGAACACGTGATCAGACGTATAATCGAATCTCAGCTACATGGAAGATTTATCACCTGCTCTTATTATCGTCTTCATCTTCGTACACATTGCACACACATGTAATAGACACAATACTTACGTTTAATTATATTTTACCTCTTTGTTACTATAATTCTACCTCTGGATCCAACTTGACACATTAAAAGGTATGCATAATTCATATAAATTATAATTGAATTAAATAAATTAAATGAATTAAATAAAAATATTTCGCTTTTATCGCCTTCCCCTCCACTTGACAAAATGGTATATATTGTAGATAGGAGGTAAAGTCATCTTGAATTTCGTCATGTTTCATTGACCTTGTTTGACAATTGAACCATGAACCTTGTCAATTAAAGACAAACTATACGGACAAGTGATATACAATATCTGCATTGACGAAGGGAAGACTGAAAAAAATGAGCCGTGTTTCAGAGACTGATGATTACAACTCCATTGGGATCGTCCACATTATGTGATATACCCCTCAATAAATTTAGATGTAAATGGCTATATCGCAGGGCGAGTCTGGATACTGTCAAGAATTAGAGATTATTTTCTCTTAATACTAATAAACTGATATCAGCATTTATATTTTTATTATTGGGATGTGTATCTTTTTGCCCTAATCACACGGAGAGTTTATTCAAATTAAACGTAAGATACTTTGAATTAATTTTATGGCGAATTAGTTTAACTCGAATTAATTACTGCACATCAAATTACTTCGCATTACCTCAGTGTTAACGCTTTATTAAGCAAGGCTAATTCAAATTAAGTTTTGGCAAAGGCTTAATAACAGAATTAAGTCACATGCCTCCTGTCGGTTATCAGAAATAGGTAATTATACTATTTTGCAGTGAATTTTTTTTAATTTACTGCGAAGTAAAGAATTCAATGCGCATTTGTTTGAACAGCGCATTTTAATTTAACAAGATAAACTATGGATTGGTAAAACATAATTGGCCTTTTTCGTTTCTATGACGTCACAATCTGTTAGCATCTCCCATTACTTTTAGAGAAAAAAAGGGCAAAATGCATTATAAGTAATGTTGGCATATTGTTGCCTCCCATTATGACAGATAATAATGTCAACATGCAAGATAATTATTTCTACATTCAAGATGATAAGTTAGCATGCCAGCTTCCCATCTTTAATAGAATTGAAATTAATATAAGTTAATTTACTTACTCACTACATGGAAGATTAGATTCAAAGTTTTTTTTCTGTTGAGACTTATTTATGTCGACATGCGATATAATTATGTCATCAGTAGACTTATTCATGTCAACCTGGGAAATACTTATGCTGACATGAGACTTATTGATAAGGGCAGATTAACTTTTTTCGAGATGTAGCATTACCGCGTGTCAATATGATAAACTTGTATGTCAACATGATTATATTATATGTACATATTGATGTAATCATATGCATGTTGATATAATTAGGTTGCATATAGACATATAACTGGCGTGTGAATATAAATACTTGTATTACAACAAAATGTTTGTTGTGAAATATGGACATTAGTACATGTACCTTTCTTATTTACCTTGATTTATCATGATTATGTAGATGACTTTTACTGAACTATGACGTCATAAAGATGTGACGTCATAGAGGTTACTACGACGTTATGGAGATAACAGTTTTAGAGTTTCAATAAACCACTATACGATACAGAGGTGTTTTACTTTAGCTACATTCCTAACATTGGTGCCGTGACCAAAGGGGAGTAATGATTTCTAAACTCAAGGCAGTCCGAGCAGGACAAAGAAGTGCAGTAACTAGACTTTTGAAAAGACTGGAAGAGGAAAACACAGATACAGAGGATATTGAAACAATACTGGAATCAATGAAAGAGAAGCAAGAAGTTCTCAAAGATCTCGATGAAAAGATTTTAGCAGACACAGCAGAGGAGGATATTGAGAAAGAAATACTTGATACAGATGAGTACAATTTGAATCTAAATTCTAAAATGCGGAAATTTAAGAAACATCTGTCAGTACAAAGATCAAGTTTAAATCCAACTGCCAACAGTTACTCAGATCACAATGAGAATTCACAGATCAGAGAGAATGGTCAATCGTCACATAGTTTCAGTGAAGATTCCAGAGGTCATCATTCCTTCACAAACTTTCTTTCTAATTCCAATCTGGGTAGCAGTACTAACTTTCATAAACTACCAAAACTCAACTTGCCTATTTTTGAGGGAAATGTATTAGAATGGCAGTCATTCTGGGATTCATTCGATTCAGCAATTCATAGGAATGTTGTGAAATATGGACATTAGTACATGTACCTTTCTTATTTATCTTGATTTATCATGATTATGTAGATGACTTTTACTGAACTATGACGTCATAAAGATGTGACGTCATAGAGGTTACTACGACGTTATGGAGATAACAGTTTTAGAGTTTCAATAAACCACTATACGATACAGAGGTGTTTTACTTTAGCTACATTCCTAACAATGTTGTTGTGTGTCGACATAATTAACTTCCATGTCGACATATATATGTCGAATGCCAACATCATTGCGTTGCGTGTCGATTTAGTTATTTCGTGTGTTGACACAAGTTGCATATCCACTTAAATTTTTTGCACTTATGATGTAAGATCTTGGCATAAGTAAGTAAATTTGCCCATATTCAAATCAGAATTTCTTAAAAGATGGTTAACAACTTCCACCGATAGTGGAATGTTACTACAAAAATAAGCAGGGAACTTGATGATGGAAAAGTTCCGTTTCCGTTTGTGAGATAGCTTAGGTGTTAGTTGGCCATTAATGTCTAAAAGATCAAGATCTAGTAAATGTAAGGTGCCTACAGATTTCTGGAATTTGAGAAATGAATTCCTTCAATTACGCCTTATAAGTTCAGACTGGTAAAACAAACAAGATGTATCGTGACATAATTGTGAAGTAAACTCTAGGATAAAACAGAGTTTATAATATTATACTTGAATCTGATTCGTCGATAAACATTTGTTAAAAAACACAATTGCCCGCTTAATAATGAAGCCACGCCCTCCAGCGTAGCAACAGTCAACATTGCTTGACGACAGGCGATATTCAAAAAGATATTGACTGCGCAGAACTTACGCGCGCCAGGTTCACTGTAATATGTATTTGTATAAAACATTAAGTATTATATAATAAATATTGCGTGAAAGTGAGTGTAACACTGAAAATTTTCACCCCTCGAAAACCATTGTCAACCTCGGCTGCGCCTCGGTTGACAATTGGTTTTCTTGGGGTGAAATTAAATAAAATTGAATTTATTGCATGTAGTTGAGTACATATAAGAAGTCTCCATTCTTTATGTACAATAGAGGTCACGGTCATATAAAGAGGTCAAAGGTCAAATATTGTGACGTCATCTACTGAACACTGAACATTTCAATTTTTTGCCATTGAAATTCTTTTTTTTTTATCGCCAGAATATCTGAAACCATCAGTTCAATTTTCCGTATTTTGACACATCTTATTCTGGGATCCATGTTAATCATAGTGCTATTTTTTTTGTGAAAATTGAATTATACATTTTCTTTTAAGAGAATTCAAAGTGCAGAATATTTTCTTGTGAATTTTCAATTCTGGGGCTATGTATATTTTATTTTTTTACCATATTTTACTCAAATTTACCACTATCGATATAGTTTACTAAAATTTAGTCACAGAAAGGTTGCTTTTATAAACAGCATCACACAAGTTTGCAGAAGATCAATTAATAATTTTTAAATAAGGCACATTCTCATGTCGAATGTCTGATTCCATAGTCTTCTTACAGATGCCCGATAGGCCATATTTCAAACTATGTGGACAAAAAAATGTGCTTTTGAATTTCTTTCATATTAAATATAAAGAGAGATTTGTATCCTGGAACAAAATATCCAAGTTTCAAAGAAATTGAATTTGAGGAAAATATTTTAGCCCATCTATTGTTTTCTACCTTATATGATGCTTTGATTTACCTGAGACAGTCCGATATTTGAACAAAAGACGAAAGTGTAAATTGCCAATGAAGCAATTCTTTCAAGAATGCATGCTTGAATGAAAAGTACTCAGTATTTTTTGAATCAGATAT